TGTAAATTGAAATAAACTGTGGTATGTTGTACTGCTACATGCTGATATCTTGTTATGTGATTGTGACATGAATTGAACCATGATGCCCTGTATGAATCAATAACTGGTAAGAGTTGAGAATTTGCTATTATGATTATATTGCTTTGACTTGAGAAACATTATGATTGTGTATTATGTTATAAACTATAAAAATGCGGAGGTGTTGTGATGGAGATATACGGCATAAGCACGTGGTTCACCTCCATATAGCGTATTATGGTTAGCAATTTGGACGGGTTAGTATACCCTTATTTGCGACACTCTTAGAGTATCTTAATGCAATATCCCCCAAGAGCAGCATATCTATCAAGATACTAGATAGTATACCTATTGGGGCAGCATACCTCATTCCTAGAGCAGCCCATGGCATGCGTGTACTTTGTCAACTTTGGCTGATCTGCATCATAGGTGAGGGAAGCTTGTAGTAGTCACCGGCCACATGGTAAGCACCAGCTCATTGGTTCAAGTTAGCAAGTATAAGGAGGATATAAGTTGGAAATTGAATTTAAATTAACAACTGATGTTAATGGCTATGGCTTGTTTGTGTGTCAACTTTTAATGTTATATGTTTTCGTTGTATAAGGTTACTCTAACAATGATTTCTTTGCCTATTAGTCCCACTAGTGTACAGGTGCTAGCAGGTAAGGTGGGTAGGAAATTATGTTATTAGGATATTTGTCTCACTCCGTTACTTTTTGCAGGGGTTAATAGCAAAGGAGTCACGATGGAGAAGGAGCATGAGGTTAGAGGTCATATGACAAAATGACCCTACCTCACAATTAAATCTTCTCTATTTATCTTTTAGTTTATTTGCCGCCTAGGATATTGGTATTCATTTATTTAGTCTTGCATATTTGGTAAGTTTGGTTTATTAAACCTTTATCCTGTTATTTTATGGTTTGATTTGGTTTTTTTAATAAAAGCTTGGTTTTGAGGCTTGGATTCGCATTATGATTAATGGTACATATGCTTGAATAGATAGTTTTGATGTATTGATCTAATTATTTCGATAGTAGTTTATTATCCGCTATAACTATGTCAATCGAGTAAACGGAGAAATCTTTTGATAATCATGTTAGTAGTTCAATCCTTTTCTAATATGGATATAGTTATGTATTTAAGGTAAATAAAATTTTTTATAACCACAATATGGTGCTTTGTGGAATATTTGTGCTTACTCTTCTTATATCATGATTATATGAAAAATAGGTACTGTATACTAAAGAAGTTGTAGGGTGTTACAGTTAATAAGTGGGTAAGAATGAAAAATTCTTTTGTTACTCCTTGCGGATATAGGAGAATATTTCAAAACTTTATACGATGGGCAAGACACTATTTTTAATTTTTTGTATTGATATATGGGTTTTAAGGAGGACGAATAATAAAAGAAAGGGAGTATTTCAGAAATATAATTTGTGAATAACATGTGCTTAATATAAATTTGATATTCAATCTACCCCATTTTAAGTGTTATCTTAGTGAAATTATTTTGTTCCACTGTGCTTTAATTTAATTAATTAATATGTTGTTTGAGGCATTCTTCAGAAATATCCGATAAAATAGAAATAATGTAAATAAAAAATTAACTTGATCTTGTGATTGAATAACGCATGCAAATCGAGAAAAAATATATCAACTAGTCTCATGAAATATTGAAATCCCACTATGTACCTTTTATAATTTTGACCTGTCTACTGTCAATGGTGTGCATTGAAGTAGCTTTTTTTTTTAAAAAAATAAATTTTCTCCAATAATAATTTAATCCAAGCCTAAAATTTGGTGATTTTCAATTGAGTTTACTATTTCTAGTAAGTTGGTACTTTTTAACATTGGATTTACGCAAATTGAATAAACACCCTTATACATTTTCAGTAGTATTGACAAAATAATTTTAAAAAAATGAAGTTTATATTTTTATTATGTTCAAGAACTATGGTTTGTTACATAATTGGATCTTAAGAAATCATTAAAATGTTATCACACCACAAAGTTCTATAGAGTACTACCCCTAGTCCTTAATATAAGAACTAATTGATTAATTTGAGTAGATTAAGAAAATTAATTAAGTTATTTATTTCTAACAAATAGGTCTTGTTTTTCCTAAAATATCCTTACTAATCAAGTATATTAGCTAGAACTACCATTAATACAAGGACTATTTTGAAAAAAAAAAGATAAATATAAGATACCAAGTGGATTGAGGTCTTATATTTAGGACCAAAATAAAAATCAAACAAGCTCTTATATTAAAGATTGGAGGTAAGTATTTCTTGCCTAGTTATATTAAAACAGTTAAGGTCATTTTTGTCACGCAATGAAACTGTGAATAACCGAAATTTTTTTTATTCCATGTCACTCCAAAGTGTTAAAAAAAGGTTGCTCTAATTGTTAAAAAATTAATATTTTTTGTTAAAACATTTAACATTGACTTTTAACATTTTATAACACTTAGGAATGATATTGAATTAAAAAAATGAATATAAATACTTGCCATAATCCATATATCCTACTTTAAAATATTTCAAGTGATTATTTAAAGTCAACTAAGACACGTGGCTTGGCCCTTTTCGCAAAAGAAAGAAAAAAACGAAGGTGCTGCTCAGGTTTGACCATATCAAGTCAACCTGGGGCTCCTAGGTGCGCTGTCCAAGCTCATATCGTTTTACCACTTCTTGGAGTCTTTGTTGTGCAGAGGACGTCCCATAAATGTGTCGGCAGCAAATGGGCACTTTTAAAATTTAAGACAAACTAAAGAATTCAATTCAATTCACCAACTAAACGTATTTGCTTACCCTCCTATTCCTGGAAAAATTCAAAACAAAAAAAAAAAAGAAAAAAAAATTGTCATGTGACAATATTTCACATACTACCTCTAGTCCTCAATAGGATAATAGGATAAGAGTTAATCAATTAATTTGGATACATTAAAAAAAATTTATTAAGTTAGTTATTTATGATAAATAGATTTTTTTTTTAAAATATCTTTATTAATCATATATATTAGCTAGAACTACATTTTGATGACACTTTTAACATGTACAATTATATTGATTACTTTAAAAACATGGATAAATATGAGAGACAAAGTATATTAGAGTCTTATATTTTGAATCAAATTGAATTCAAACTAACTCATATATTAAAAACATTGTGAAATATTTATAAAATATTAAAACTAACCCAATCAAATTTTAATTCAATAGTTGAAATGAGAAGTGGAGCGAGGAAGTAGAATTTCTTCATTATCATGGTAGTATTTAATTATAGTTAATGGAATACAAGGATAGTTTAGAAAAAAATAAATAAATATGTGGGACAAAATGAATTGAAATATTATGCTACCTCCGGTCCTTAATATAAGACACTGTTTGATTTTTATTTTGGTCCTAAATATAAGACCCCAATCCACTTTGTCTCTCATATATATATATATATATATATATATTTCCAAAGTAGCCCTTTTAACAATGATAGTTCTAGTCAATACACTTGATTAGTAAACATATTTTAGGAAATATAACACTGTTTGATTTTTATTTTGGTCCTAAATATAAGACCCCAATCCACTTTGTCTCTCATATTTATATATATTTTTCCAAAGTAGCCCTTCTAACAATAATAGTTCTAGTCAATACACTTGATTAGTAAACATATTTTAGGAAATATAACATGTATTTAGGACAAATAACTAACTCAACTTACTTCCTTAATCTCCTCAAATTAGTCAACTGGCTCTTATAATTAGGATCGGAGGTCACTAGAACTATCATTATTAGAAGGACTACTTTGGAAAAAATGTATAAATATGAGAGACAAAGTGGATTGGGATCTTATATTTAGGACTAAAATAAAAGTCAAACAGAGTCTTATATTAAAGACAGGAGGTAGTAGTATTTAGGATCAAACTAAAAGTTAAACTAACTCTTATAATTAGGACTAGAGATAGTATTTTTTTATATGAGAGGTGGGCTCCGAGTGGCAAGTGTTATCGAAATTCGAAAGTCTTGAGAATAAGTTGTGCAACTCATAGTTGTTGAATTTTATATTTATATTTTATATTAATGATAATATTAATATCAATTATATTAGTATTTTTTTGATTATTTTATTTATATTAAAATTAATGTTGATATTCCATTCGGTCAATTTGAATGTTAGTTAACAAATAAGGGATGATTGCTAATAAAATTGGTACTAAATTGCTGATAGTACAGCTTATGCACAAAAGGAGAAGCCAGTTTTCGTTAATAGATAATTAACAAATATTTCAATAGGTGCATGAGATTTATCTTAATTTTGATAAGCTTTGAAAACGTAACTCATTTAAATATTTTCATAATAAAATCATTTTAACATACAAGTGCATAATTGAAATTATATTTATAAAATAAAAACCAGTCTCCATTTAAAGTCTAACAACTTACATGATGCCATGATGGCATCTTTAAAAACCTAACGCATTTTGACACCGAAATAGTTCATCGCAGTAAAGGTTTGCGAACAGAAATCTTCTCACTAGATATACTTATTCCCTTATTGAAAATAATTTGATAAAGAACAGAAAAAGTTAAGACGTATCCAGTACTCTGAAATATTTTTTAAAGTATTTTTTTTGCTTAGCACCAAAAATATTTTTGGGTGCTGGACCCATTTAAAAAAAACCTTTGAACTGTTAGATCTATAAAAAAATACCTCACGATACTGAACGTATCTAAAAAAAATATTTCAGATTAATGGATATATCTTAATCTAGACAGAAATCTAAATTGTATTTACAGCCTGCCTCAAGAAAAGGCCTCTTGGTCTTGATTCCATAACCTCGAAAGAAGAAAATGGGCTACAAGAAAGAAATAGGAAGCCCGTATTTTTAATCCTTGATGGGTTTGGCTTTCAGGCCCACTCTCAGGGCCAGTTTTGTAAGAGCACAAGGAATGCCCAGAAAATACTAATAGAAGGCGGCTCGCCGTGGCCAACCGAGCTGCGTCGCAAACGATGGAGTGTGCGGCGAGGGGGAGAACTCCGTGCGTCGGCCCAGCCACGAGACGCTGTGCTCGCTGTGAAGCTGTTTCTTATTGCTCTATTGCTCACCAGGTTTTTCTCTCACTCTTGTAAACTTTTCTTTCTCACAATTATCTTTCTTTTCACTTGATTGTTCTTCTAACATGCTTCTGGGTTTCGAACTCCTTGCTGCTTATTTTTCTTGGTTATGTATATTGTTTGGCTTCAGATGGAACTGAGTTGGAATTTGAATTTGAGTTAGGTCTTTAATGTACTTCATGGCCTGGTAATAATGAATTTTTTGAGTTTCCTGAATTCATTTTTACATTTGTGCGAGAGTCGTGTTTATTGCCTATTGTCATATGGGATTGTATGGATAATATAGCGAGGAAATGTCCTCTTCACTACGACTTCGATTGTCAAGAACATCTAAATAGACTTGTGGGACCAATTTCTGATATTCAGAATATTTGTTTAGGACTGAAGATATTCAGAATTTATTTGTACTGGATTCTACTTGCAGATATTTTCTAGTTAAATATTGATTTTTTTTTTGGCAAATTCTAGTTAAATATTGATGTTCTGCATGAAACACACCTAATTTCTTCCTTTTTTTTTTTGGTGCATAGATTGCACACTGGAGTCATCATAAACATGAGTGTGAACGGTTAGAAAAACAGATGAAGAATGTGGATGTATTGAATGAATTTCCTTTCACATTCTCTCCAGAAGCTACATATCGGGTAATTGGTGATCTGCTTGTGGTTGACAATGATCTGTATATTTTTAATGTATATGTACATGTATTTATGTATGTATAGTTCTTGCTTACTTATTGCTCTTAAACTTCCATCAGATTTGTGAAAAGCAAGAGACTAGGTGTTCATTTTTGGCGAAGAGGCATCTTCATCAGGTGGGAATGTGGCTGCACGAATGCTGTTGTGGAGCATCATGCGGCGCCTTTGATCGGTTAGGGTTTTCTCTCATTTCCTTCGTAGTTCATATTCTGCCACTTAATTAAATTCCTTCTTTTACTTATGTATGAGTATTGGAATTCAGCTTAAGATAAAGAATAAAATAAAAAAAGCTTCACTTTTTGTGCTTTTGAAGATAACATTTTCCCATTAGTCTACTAGTTTTAGATAATTGTTCATTGCAAGAAAAATTGATTTCTGCAGATTGAACAAAGGCTGGGATCTCTCAAGTCATTTCTGCCCATGTTCTGGTAATTTTATGCTTCAAACTTTTTTTGTCTTCTCCTTCTCATCCTCCTTTAGATGTACAGTGAATTTAACATATGGATGACCAGGGCCTGAATCTGCTATATCAGAGGAGTTGCATAGTTGGGAAGACTACTGTAAGTGGAGGTGCATTCCACTGGACTCACCTGTTGCTTTACTTCTTCACTGGGTATGAGTATCTCATTAACTTTAGCAATTGCTTTATCTTCATTTACATTTCAATGGCTTTCATAAGCATGCCTTACTAGCTACTATGTTTTCTCATGGAAGTCAACACTATTCACGGCCATTTGTTTGTCTACAAGGTTTCTTTTCTTTTTGACATGAGCGTGCATAGGTAGTCTGAGAAGGGGATTTGAATCAGACAAAATTTGTATTTAAAAGTTGGAACAAGGGGCAAAGTTACTTATCGTTTACTTGGATCTAAAGGAAATATCTACTAAAGGTTCTTCATATGATACCATATAAAGCATAGACATGTCTGAACAGGTATTGTTCAGATAATTATTTATGTATTGATTGTCTGGTGTTTTCTATTGCAGCCACTTACGGTATATCATGCTTTGCAACTTGTTGGAATCACGATCCCGAATCCTGAAATTAATGATAAGCTGTACATACATTACCTTGGTAAACTATTGCTTTCAAATTCTTTCTTAAGTATTTTAATTTGATTTGGATTCTTTCTTTCTTTTTCTTTTTTTCCATTTTTTTGGCCCAGAAAATTCCTTTTATGCTCTCTTTGCTTTTACAAAATGATCTGTTTCCTCATTTTTATCTGTTATGTCATTTTAGTGGCAGTGAAACATTTACTTTTATGAATCATTATTCAAAAAAGGCTTCGCATCTGCATCTCCCTTAGACATTAGTAATTTGCATGATCCCTCGGCTTTTGACTTCTGTCTCATGACGTTGTCTCTAAAAGGACCTGAGAAAGAGCTTCTACAACTTGTGGTGTTTGGGGAATTACGGGCACTCTTCCCCGGTGTACGTATTCATGTAGAACTTGTTGGGCCTGCGATTCCTCTACACAGGTCCGTTGAAGTTCTTGTGATTCATGTTTTGTCCTAATGCTGGTCGCAAATTGGTCCACAATGCATATCTTCCGTTTCCCAGTGAACAGGGATGGAGAGAAGATCAGTATTTCTCAGTATGCTCGCTGCAATAGTGATGAGTGTTCCTGCAAATTATCTGGTGATGATGTGATTTTCAAAACGCAATCTGATACCACTTCGGCAGTGACATTGCAGCTTTGGCGAGGGTTCTATCACGATCGTTATGGTGATATTGTCAAGGTATCTAATTTTCTGATGGTCAACATTCAAATTATCATTGTTTCCAGATAACTTTAAATGGCTGATTCTTCAATTCAGCAATTTTCTCTTCAATTTTGTTCCCCTAACAGGATAAGGATTCCTTCCCACATCTAGTCATAGCCCCAAATGCTGGCATTGCTGCTTATACTAGTTGGTTACCCAGTATTGTATGCCACCCACCTCACGCTTCTCTTTTATGTTTTGCTGTTGATTCAAATTTGTGAATTACCTTTTTATTAAAAAAGTACTCTTCCAGTTCTAAATATGAATTATATAACTAATTTGTAGTGAGTAAGAAAATTAGTTAAGTTTGTTATTTGTAAGAAATGTATGTTGGTTTCCTAAAATATCCCTTTAATCATTTGCATTGTAAACTACTTCCTGATAGAAATTCTCTTAATAAATGTAATTAATGGGGATAGTTTGAAAAACAAATTATAAATTTAGGAGATAAAGTGGATTAGGGTTTTACATTTGGAATTAAAGTAAACTCTTCTGCTAATTTCTACACTTAAAACTGAAGGAGTGGCAATAATGAATAGAAGAGAAGCAGGGTACTTTTTTCCCTGTCTTATCATTGTTTTTGTTCGGTTTTGCTTGATGAATATTTCAGGAGCTAATGGAAAAGATGAACATCCCGGTTGTTTTCACCGACTACTGTGAGGAAGCTTGTCATCTTGCTGCACGTTGTATTGAGTCTGTAACTGGCCGCTCCCTTGGATTGCCTGTAAGCTTCTTACTTCCTGCTTTTGAAAGTTGTATTTTGATAGATTCTTAAGTGGCGAGTTGGTTCATTATTATCTAGATTTTCACATTTCTTACCATTGATCTGGTATCAACAGAAGCATTGAACTGTTATGTCATGTAGGTTCAATTGAATCCATTCAGGCAGCCGGTAGCGGTGGAGGATAGTGTGCTGTTGCTTCCTTGTTATTCAAATTGCTTTCTTTTTGGGATGTAAATTGATTGATTTACTAAAATAAAGTATTAAACACATGCTTATTATTGTGTAATTATTACTTATGATTCCTCACAAAAGAAAAATATAATTAACCATGCATTAATCATTTTATATGTTTGATTTTGATATAAATTGAGGAGATAAAGATAATCTCAAGTGGATGAGTTAGAGGAATATTATACGCATGATAATGCTCTTGGTATTGTACTACCTTTGGTCCTTAACATGAAAACTAGATAATTAATTTGAGAAGATTAAGAAATAAGTTACTTTGGTTAATTGTAACAACTAACAAGTGTGGATTGATTTTCCTAAATTATCGTTAATTATATGTATTGGAATGAAAACCCTTGTAATTAATATAAATATTTTAGAGAAAATATTATAAATTCAAGAGGTAAAGTGAACTGAGATCATATTTAGAACCAATTTAATTTTTAATTAGTTTTTATATTAAGAATTGAAGCCGGTATATTATATTGTGTGCATTGATAAAATGAATCAGACTCATGCATTATGCTTATGCATTAAACGTGCTTCATGAATATTGATGCAATAAAATTGTAAGGATTAAAGTAAAGAAAATGGAATACCAAATAATATTTCATTAAAATAATAAAAAAGGGAAAAAAATGCCCAAAAAAAATTTAAAATAAAATTGGGAGCTTTGATGTTCAACCTTATCCGTCAATAACCCACCTTCAAGCATATTGTTTACTGTCTGGGGTTTGGGATCGAACTAATATATGATGAGTGAAATTTATTAAAATAAATTCAGTAATTACTTCCACTACTAAGATATTAAAAAATTTAAATGAAGTGAAATATTTTAAAACTCAAAATGTTTATACAAACAATTAGTATAATAATGACGTATTTAATGTTAATTAAAAAAATCATAACAAGAAAAATAACGAGAAAAGAAAGTGAGGAATGCGTCGTAGTGCCAATTTGACGCCATATGTTTTTAAAGTCTAACAATGTGTCTGATGATGCAAGAAACCAGAACATTACAATATACTGAAACTGAGACTGGTTACTGAACCGGTTGAGGCAGTGGTTCAGATTGGAGTCAACCCGAGATTGGACCAGTCATGATTAAAATAGTATGTTAAAATAATGGGAATAAAGTTTAAAGCATTAAAATATAAAATATAATTATAAAAGAAATATAAATAAGCATTTACAATGAAAAAAACAGAAGTAAACAACTATATAATTTACATAATTAATAATTTTATAATCGGAAGAAAATCCTCCGTAGTCCATGCCGTTGACTGGATGCCAGCGGAGTATGCTGTAGTAGTACTAATAATGAGTTTCGGAAAAACCGAAAAATAAAACGTGAGAGGGTGAAAATTTGCTTCTATTGAAAAGTGAGCTTTTTGCCGGTATGCTATAAATAGTAAAAATATATACCAAAATACTGTAGGTTCAAAAGTATTTACTAATATGTTACATTTAAAATCGTTCTTGGTAATAATGATTTTCAAACACAAGTTGTTCTTGGCAAAAACGACTTGTGTGTTAACTGATAAAAAGTGAAATTGTTCCTAGCGTCAATGATTTCCCTTTTTGACATTTTATTTTTTTTTTAAATCAAAAAGTGAAATTGCTCACAGCTATTCCTACTCCATGCAAGAGTCTCTGCCATTTCCTTTGCATGCGAGAATCTCCCATTTCCTTTCCAACTTCTCTCACTTGTCAACTCAATTCTTTTTTTTTTTTTCCATGCAAACCCGTGAAGCCATAGCAATTTGCATGCTTTTATATATTTATATGTCCAGTATTTGTTCCCTACTTCATCTCCTTCTTTCTTCTTCTTCCTCCTCCTCCTCCTCCTCTCGGTCGTTCACTTGCTCCATTTTCATTGTTTCCTTACTCTATTATTTTTTTACTCTTACTTCTAAATACTTAACAAGTTCTTTTACTACTACTGTGAGTATATTGTTTTTCTTCTATTTTTTTCAAAAAAAATATTTGCAGTTGTGATATAGAATTTGATTTTTCATCCATACTATCCTTGATGAGCTAATATTTCATTATTCTAATTTTCAAGAGGTGGGTGGTGGGTTCAACAATTTAGAATATTTGTACTCTTTTTAAGCTAGGTGCCTCTTATTTTGATGATAAAACTATCATCTATTATATTGTTTTAAAATGTTAAGATTTTGATATAAGCTCCAATCTTTTTTTAGCATATGATTATTATTTTTTCTTATAAAAGTATACTTTTCCAAGAGTTTAAATTAGGTAAGATAAAATTAAAAAATAATTATATATACACCATAAATATCAAATCTGTGGTATATATCAAGTTGGTTAAAAAAAAAAAAAAGTCTTCTACCCACTTCAAGTGAACTATTGCTTTCATATATTTTTTAGGTAAAAATAAGGTGTAAGTAATGAAAAATTGAAATGAATGGAGGGCTCTCATAATTTCTTTTCTTCATTTTGCCCTTTCCTTGCTATTTGCTATGTTGTATTTTTGAATTGGTAATGACGTGTCATGACATGATTGTTTTGAATCAAAAGTAAAATATTTTGACTATCTTTCTAGTTTACATCAATGACATAGACCTTCTTTTTATTTTAAAAACATACAGTTTAGTCCAATTAGTTAACACCATTAGAAGTATTCTAAAAGGATTCTAAAAATATTATTTTTAACTAAAATTTATATTAAAATAAAATTTATTTACTATTTTACTCCTCTTTCTAATAAATTCCTAAATTGTAGTTTTATAGTTACATCAATTTCATTCAGTTAAGGCAAAAATAAAAGATTTGATTAAAAATTTAACTAATATTTTGAATAAATATATATATTTAACTAAATATGTTTATAAATCCTTGTAATAAAGAAGTCTTTAAAAGTTTGAATTATAAATTTAAATAATGTATAAAATATTTTAAACTTATATCATTTAAATTTTATGATAAATAAAAACTATGTATTTGAAATATGTTTTTACAATTTAAAAGAAATCAAAGTAAATAATTTCTAATAAATGTGATAAACTAGAAGAAAAATCTTTATTTTTGAACCTTTCATTTCAATCCAATGATTTTGGCTCAAAAGATTTTAACCCAATGAAATTTTTAGTTTCATGTAATAAATTGATATTTATTAAATTAAATATTACAGAAATAATAAAATAATAAATAAGTATTATAAGGTATAAATAATATATTTATGCATAAAATTAAAAAAATCTCTATGATATGTTAATTATTAAAGTAATATTACAAGAAATAATTTTAATATTAAAAAGATATATGTTTAGCATGTTTTATATAGTGCAATTTTATATTAATTAATACTTGATATAAATAAAATTATAGAAATAGCAAAAGAAACAAAAGGAAAAAATCTCTCTTTCTTAAACTTTTTTTTATTTTAATTACAAAGAAATAATTTACGACAAATGATTAACAAATTCTAAAAATGACTAGATTTGTAATTAAGTTTGTTTACTATACTTTAATAGATTTTGACAATACTAGCAACAACACTTTTTATAGTAGTTCCTGATTTGGGATTATGCAGTTTTCATTGTTTTCCCCCCTAGATATGGATTCCTTTGTGTCTTTGGTTGTATAGGATATTCTGAGCTAATAATAAATATTGATTTTGTAAAAAAAGTAATGGTATAGTAGAGTTAATTTATTGGGAAAAAGACAGAAAAATGCACTCTTAATTTCAGAAGCCCAAAAAGGTCCGCTGAATTCAACAAATCCCAGTTTGGTACCATGAGACCAAATTGGGATTATTATGTGAAAGGAAAAGACCAAATTGCCCTTCATTTTAAATATTACTTTTAAAATATCACAGCCCCTACTGGCCGGCCGGCCACCGGACCTCCGGCGACGGCGGTCACCGGAGCTCCGGCGACCAGCCGACAATTGGTCACCGGAGCTCCGTCGGTCGGAATTTTTTTTTGTTGAAATTTTCACAACTTCAATATAACGGTTAACAACTTTTGTAATGCGATTAACAACTTCAATATAGCAATTAACAACAGCTTTTCTGGAAAATTCAACAAAGTCCGGCGACCGGAAACAATTTTTTTGAAAATTTTTACAACTTCAATATAACCGTTAACAACTTTTGTAACGCCATTAACAACTTCAATATAGCAATTAACAACAGGTTTTTTGAGAAATTCAATAAACTCCGGCGACCGGAAACAATTTTTTTGAAAATTTTTACAACTTCAATATAACGGTTAACAACTTTTATAATGCTATTAACAACTTCAATATAGCAATTAACAACAGCTTTTCTGGAAAATTCAACAAACTCTGGCGACCGGAAATAATGTTTTTGAAATTTTTTACAACTTCAATATAGCGGTTAACAACTTCTGTAACCCTATTAACAACTTCAGTATAGCGGTTAACAACAGGTTTTTGAGTTTGTTAAAGACATTACTGAAGTTATAAAAATGCCAATTTTTGAATTTAAAAACTTGTTGTTAACTGCTATATCAAAGTTGTTAATCGTTATATTGGAGTTGTAAAAATTTTCAAAAAAACGTAATTGTTAACATTATACTGAAGTTAAAAATTTTTACAACTTCAATATAACGGTTAACAACTTTTATAATGCTATTAACAACTTCAATATAGCAATTAACAACAAGTTTTCTGGGAAATTCAACAAACTCCGACGACCGGAAATAATTTTTTTGAAAATTTTTACAACTTCAATATAGCAGTTAACAACTTCAGTATAGCGGTTAACAACAGGTTTTTGAGTTTGTTAAAGACATTACTGAAATTATAAAAATGCCACTTTTTGAATTTAAAAACTTGTTGTTAACTGCTATATCAAAGTTGTTAACCGTTATATTGGAGTTGTACAAATTTTCAAAAAAACGTAACTGTTAACGTTATACTAAAGTTGAAAATTTTTACAACTCCAATATAACGGTTAACAACTTTTATAATGCTATTAACAACTTCAATATAATAATTAACAACAAGTTTTCTGGGAAATTCAACAAACTCCGGCGACCGGAAATAATTTTTTTGAAAATTTTTACAACTTCAATATAGCGGTTAACAACTTTTGTAACCCTATTAACAACTTCAGTATAGCAGTTAACAA